AGCCTAAAGAATAATCCTTGTTAAGAAATAACTATTTCACCCGAAATCTTTAGTCTCTCAATAATGCACTCAGTCCTGCGTCCTGAATCGAATCGTTGACGAAATATATTTCAGATGCTAGAAGTATACAGGAAAACAATAGCAAAGGATGTAGCATAGGATATATTCGACAAAGTATCCTATCAAGTGTGAATTACAGTTTCGACCTCGCCAATGTCTTATCCCTATTCTCAGTAGGACCCAGTACCGGGTCATGAATATAGTGATGTCTGTCACACTACTCCACGGCCCTGAGCGCCAGAGGTCAGATGCGACGAATGGGAAAGAACCCATTATCACCTCTTAAACGCCATTAAGTAAATTTAGTCCCGACCAAAAGCTAAAGTATCATTACGAAAGTCAGATTACGGATAGCGCAGCTATTAGAAGTATAATCGTATAAAACATGAGCAATCCCTCACCCTATCGTTTGCCAGAAGAAGTGCGTCCCTCAAGCTATTCATCTGAAGTAAATGCTGCGTTTGTGCGTAATACTTCTTCTTGATTATTTCTAACGACTCGATCTGAAATCAGAAAAATCAAGATATGCTCGGAAATCAAAAATAATAAGTAAATAGAGCGAGAAAAGACTCACCTTAGTGGACAGCTCCCTGTTCTTGATACGAAGTGATTTGTTATCCTCAGCAAGACGAAGTACTTCCATAGGATAGGACTCCAAAGCCCGAATACGATCGCGAAGTCTGAGGGAAATTCCAAAATCCAATAAATCAACACGTAAAAAAGATTGTTTTTAAATCCGTATCAGAGAATGCCTCTGGAGTTTAATAGGGAACTAACAATATCCTACTAGGCAAGTCCAAGCAAGCTAGAGGCAGCTTCATTAGTACCCGATGGTGTGTGATTGAACCCTGCGTAGTTAGCTTAGGTTAAAAAATAGCTGCCTTCCTCTGCGATCGTATTCCTTCCCTCTATAATTTCAAATTTGTGCACGAGTCAATATTTTTTTCCACTATTTATGGATATAAGATAATTCCGCTCATAAGTTCATATGACGGCCAATATAAAGTTATACCAGCCAACATATTATAGGACAAACACCTGACAATAAGCAATATAATGAACAGAGCCTTTTTTATAAACCGATGGAGAACGAATTAATTTGCCTTGATGACGCGAGTGCGAAATTCGCATTCACAAACATTAATGATGAAAGCATGCTGCGTCAATTCGAATTCCTATCGCATGCTTCGAAAAAAAAGCATCAATGCGCTGTGTGCACCGTACAATTCAGGCAATGGACAAGAGGGCACTCAGTTCGGCAGAAAATAACCACCTCTTTTCCAAGCAACAGCAATCATATTCCCGTAATGTTCCAAGCGAACAGAATCATTCATATCAGTATTTGGATAGCATCGGTGCGAAAATAAGTTACCTCGTCACTTGCAGGACATAGTAGGGGCGACCATTTCAATAAAATGCATAAACTCCAATAAATGTATTGATATGCCTTGATATTAAGTCAGATTTCAAACAAAAATAGCCGAAATGTCACTAATACTAACAAAATGCGGCAACTGTGAGCAAGGCATATTGGTAAAACAAGAAGACAAGTCAGCCTACGAATTAAGGAACACCAAAAACCCTGCAGAAACAAGGACACGGACAGATCTGGAATAGCGGAAAATACTGCATGGACGGGACATAAAATCGACAGAAAGGCTGGCTGCAAATAGGTAAAAAACAAGGAAACGTAAATTAGACTTACTGAAATAAATCTAATGAACAGAACACTTGAGGAAAGCAGGATTACTGAAAGCTTTGCATATGGCCTAATCAAACTCGGCGATCAGGGAACATCAAGATCAGAAAAAATAAGACTAGATAAAGGAAATATTTTAAAATTGAGGAAAAGAAATCGCAAGGATACCACAGAAGAACAATCGGAAACCAAGAAGAGACGTCAAAGTAGGATGAACAACTAAGGAGGAAGAGGGAGACTCTGATAGGAGCTGCAGAAAAAGGATTGCGGACTAAACTGTCCTCTTTGATCAACAGTCTCAGCATGGTGGGAGGGGGGATGAGGGCACCAGCAAGAAGTGTAGCTAGGTCTTACTAAATCCGCTTAAAATGGCACATCACAACCAGGTTAATATAAGCAAGGTATTGTGATAGTGAAGAGATGTTACGGGGATATAGGATATAGGAGAGATATCATTACTGTTCAGAAGACAATTGATCAAAGTATTGACTTAGCTTGTCTCTTTTACAATTTATGGTGTGGTGCTAAGAATGGCAAGGCTCACTGACGATGCCAGCGAAACGTCTGGGAATTGTACCAGGTCCACGGTCCGACTCTGGAAATCATCACGCATACTATGGACTACGTACAAAGTATGTCCATCTAGGTCTCCCTGGCAATATGACCAAGTTGCAAAAGAAAGGCTAAACAACTTCTATGCAACGAAAGGAGACTATGACCATAGTAAAGGCGACACCATTTTGGTTTTTAGTTTCGATTTCACTAATACTGTTTACTATAATAAAACAGTAACAAATTTTCGATGTAGATTCATAGGGAATGGGGGCCACAGTCAACTAGCTGATCCATCGATGTCCCCTCTAGACATACTAGCCTATCGTACCTGCTAAGGCTGCCGTCCCCTCTAAAAATACAAAAAGCTGGCAATGTTAAAATGCAACTACCATTCCTTCATCACCTTAAGCGAAATATAGTGAATACATATCATTTAACAGATGTAATGGTAATCTCGAAACCCTACTTATAAACGAAAAATATGCCCAATAAAATCCGTCACAAATCAGGTAAGCCCGCGATTTGAATTTACCAAATACCACATGATTAAGAGATCAATATTAACAAGGACATGATGAACGGAAAAGAGCAATAATGGACAGAAATTGTAACTTTTAGAGAACGTCTTGAAAATAATTCCACAGGTGTACATACTATGATACATGACAAAACGGAAGATGTAATACTTGAGTCTAAGAATGTAATCCTAGAACTTAGTTACTAGTAAAATTTAGGATCTACTAGACGATTTTCGTCAAAGATGGTAATATGATTACGGAAATAGAAAATTATTAATAATGTTAAAAAGAAAAATAAGCTGTTTTTGCTTCACTTTAATAGATCAGTCGAAGCGCAATGAGGTGTAGGTAGATTAGTCAATCGGGGGGTATAATAATCAAGTATAAAACTATTTATAATTCCAACGCTCTAAAGCAATCTATAGCACAGTTTGTAAGGCATCAGAAGCAAAGGACGAAAGTGAAATATCAGACACATTCATGGTTTCGTTTCTAAAGTTTTAAAAATACTGTGCTGTAAAAATGTGTGGATCAAGCAAAGTATTACCGTTCAACTTCTTTTTCTGCCTTTTCTTTTGTTATTCTAATTTCAGCCAGAAATGCGAGTTCATCCTGAGCTTCACGTAATTCTAAATCTTTCTGTAGAAGACGTGCCTCAAGCTCATTAGAATGCTGAATGAGAGCCTGATGTTGGGCCGACAGAAGTGATAACTCCGATACCTCTTCTTCCAGAAGGTGTTCCAATTCAAATGCTTTAGCCTTGGCTTCACGAAGTTCTTGCAATTTAGACACATATTCTTCCTAAAACAATATTTTTTAAAAAGAGTAACTATATGAAATTATTGAATTCACCGCCTAATTTTACTTGCATCAAAATTTGAAGGAATAGTAAATGAAGGAATAACCATCATATCAATTGATAATTTGTAGCAAACATTAGGTAGTGGCATGGAGATCAAGGGACTAGTTAACAATTACACTTTGACTCATGTATACATTTGCCCGATAGTCATTAGGCAAGGTCCTGAATTAATCTGTGGGCTTTTATCTGTCATAACAAAGACATCTTAAAAGCAATTACGCACAAAGGGAAGTGATT